GGGGACAGGGACAGAACTGGCCGAAGGTGTGCTCGACGACCTGAAGGCATTCGGGGCCGACCACGGATCTACGAAAACCGACCCATGTTGTCTCGGAATTTCCGTACCGAAAGACACGGCACCGAAGTTAAGATGGACGGAAGCCGCGAAGGTGGAGGGGGGAGTACCCTGGCATGCGGCGGTGCTGCAGGGAGCTGAGAGGTTCACGACCTCCTGGCACGAGAAGGAAGAAGAGGCCAGCCCACAACGAGCGCTAAAACGAAACCACAAGCCAACAACCAATGGGGCGGGAGGGGGGCAGGAGACGGACGAGACGGCGAGGGAAGAAAGCAAACGAGAAGAGACGGACCGAGTGGCACGACACGTGCCGGATTGAATTTCTTTTAGCCAATTCCCCCGCCCCAACGCTGCACCATTGCACGAACCCCCCAGTAGTGATTTCGTACCATTACAATGTATCGCTGGTTGGTGGCCATGTTTGCGTGTTTGCTTGTTCGTTAGTGGTCTCTCCACCGTGTGCCTTGCTCTGCCTCATACTTCTTGTTATTTTCAGCCTGGTCCCTCTTTGTCCTCGCCCTTTTTCATTTTATTTTCATTATATTTCTATTTTCTCTTCTCCTTACGGTTTCCATTTTTCTCTTTTTTCTCCTTTTTCTCTCTTTTTCTGTGCCAGATGTCCTTGTCTCTGCTTGCGTTGTGAAGTACCTAGATTGAACCAAGGGGGTGTACCTCTTTCTCTCCGGCCCATGATAGATGGTGACTGCTAGTCTCAGTGATACCTCGCATAGCGCGAAGAGGGAGTGGAGGATTCCAGAATATCTGTCGTTGATTTCTATTGACTTGCGGACCCCTCGGGGCCAGTTTATTTGAGTGTACCTTTTTAGGGTAAGTTAACCTGTGACCACGGGAATCGACCGCGTCGAGTGTTGGATCAGTACGGACATACGAAGGTACTGGGTAGAGAGAGATCGGAACGGTTTTTAATGTGAAGACAACAACAACAACAACAACAACAACAACAAGTAGTTCGTCCGTGTAGTCATGGTTTTTGTTCTCACTTCGTCACAGAAGGATGAAAGTCCGCACTACCCTAGTCTATCTATTTCCAACTCGGCGACTTGTGGTTGTTGTGTTTGTTGTTGCTGAGCCCACTTCGGATACCACCGCAGTTCGGTACAGATGTCTGACAGCCTGCGGTGGGCCAAAGGAACGAGAGTGAGTGAGTGTCTACTCGAGAGTGAATGCCTTGTCTTCTCTCCGCTCTCTTCTTTTAGTCTACCTGTCTCTCTCTTGCCTTTCGCCGGTGGAGTCCCAACAATATCGAACTACGTCAACCGCAGTGGTTTCGCATGTTGCTGAGTAAAAGACTACCCGTGCACCGGGCTGCTGCATGAGAGGCGATGTGCGCTACCTGTTTATGTCAAGCAATGGACTTGGGGCCCTACCTAATGCTGGACATGCAGGGCTATGTGACATGTTCGAGCGGCTCAGAGGGAGCGACGACCACGGTGGTTTTTCTATGCTTCTTTTGCCTCCTCCCTCAAGCCTGTCGCGCCTGGCTCACTTGTCTTTGATCTTCATTTTTTTTTTTTATGCTTTGCTTGTTGGGGTCCCCCAGTCACCCGCATACCATTATTTTTTGTTGGGAGGGGTGTATACTTGCCATGTTCATGACCGGGCCCCGGACTTTTTACTCGCACCCCGTCCATAGATCTCCTCCGCAATACCTGTTGCCGGCAGCAGCCTCCCTCGTGCTTCCTTGGGGCAGACCAACAAGTGCCCCCAAGTCTACCCTTCTAGTCAAGTTTCAAACACTTTCACGCTGACTCAATGCTGCTGCTCTCTAATTGGCCAACAAATATTTCCTCTTCCGCTCCTCATAAAACTCAGATTTCAACGCCTCTGTCTCTTCTGCAATCTTCTGCATTCCACTTGTCAACACACCAACCACCACATCCTATGTACTATGCCCACCGACACGTCCAAGGCTTGGGGAATTTCAAAGCTTTAGCTTCAGTCTCATCGTTCAATATCCGTGGAAGTTTCATTCGCATGCCCCACCCTTTATTTTCTCTTTTTCTTACTTTCCATTTTATTTTATTTTTTCCCTTTTTTCTCTTTTTCTCTCTTTTTTCACTCTTTTTCTGTGCCAGATGGTCTTGTCTCTGCTTACGTTGGAGTTGTTGTTGTTGTTGTTGTTTTTCTTCACATTAAACTCGTGTCAGTTGCTAATCCCAAAATCTAGCAAAGACTCGGCCCGTGGTCACAAAAATGCTAAAGCCATCAGAAGATCTAAAGAACACGCACACTATTAGCAAGAAAAGGGTACACAAGCCCAAGGAGGTACACCTACAATCCCTGCAGCACGTTTGCGTGCTCACAACTGACCTACATGCCCACACACTACAATTCGACTACAGCAGGCGGCATCGCCCCCCTTGTCCCGCACTTCACCAAAATGAATGTTTGTCGACTACAGCGTACTGCTGTCTGAAGTGCTGTCTGCACAAAATAACACCATGGTGTATGGTGCACAACAAGCTCGGGGCATGCAGCTGCTGTCTGAAGTGCTGTCAGAATGGGTCCGTGGACATACAATGAAGAAGAACAACCAATCAAAGCCATCATCATTGCACTTGACAATCGCCCGAATCTATCCAGATCATCTGTGTTAGACACAGCAGTGTAAACATCGACACTGACTAGGAATCGTTCCACATTCAAGGGGTCTTCCACGATGCAGGTACACAATTAAGGCACCCGGGTTATCCGCGCCATCTCTGCCGCGTCTCTCTACAAAACCAGTGACGTCATCACACACACCTAACACCTATATTCAGGAAAAAAACGGACAATAATTGACAACACAAGAGATGTTTGTCCGTGCGACACGGTTCGATGTGCCGTCCGGCTGCTCCGGTTCCGCTGCTGCTCCGGTGCCGCTTCTCCGGTGTCGCTGTGGCCAGTCCTAGCACGATCAAACTCGACCCGCTCCGCTTTGTACACGCTCTCGTTGCTGTCCTTCCCAGTCGGTTCCTCGCTTTCTCCCTCGTTGCACTTAGGGTTCTTGGTCTGAAAATTCTCGCGCCGAAGGGTCAACCAGCCCAGTCAGCTCGTCACCACCTGTCCACTCCTCATTTGATGGCAAAACCAGGTTACTGAGACAGTACAGCTCCCTCTAGCAAACATAGGGCCGTGTACATAGTGCCCGTCCACCTTTCTGATGGCGTCTGCCTCCGCGCACAAAGATGAGATGGGCATTGCTGCCTGCACCGACGGCCTCGAGGCCCGCGCATCTGCACCTTTGTACCTGACGCACCAGTGCCGACCCAACTCCACCACTACGCACGCCTCGCGGCGGGTGCGCCGTAGCAAGAAGGTATCGGTCCCTTGAGGGTGAGTCTAGCCCTGCTCGCTAGAAAGACCCCCCCCCTCGCTTTGGGTCATGCCTAAGCAAAACCTTGCCGAGGCAGCGAGGGGAAGAAGGGGGTAGTACCAAGATTGAACCAAGGGGGTGTACCTCTTTCTCTCAGACCCATGATAGTGACTCCTAGTCTCAGTTGATACCTCGCATAGCGCGCAGAGGGAGTGGAGGATGAATTCATTGTGATAGCAACTCGACGAGTATCTTATCGTCGCGTTGCCTGTCTGAAGCTTTCCAGTTTTTCAGCCGTTAATATAGTCGAGGGCGCACACCGCGACATGCTCGCCCACCGAGCACGACTGTATACATACACAGAGTAGATGACGGTATTTTAGATATCACACCCCCTGAACAATT